GACAGCTTAGAGAGCTTAACGACCTGAGAGTGATGGGCGTTCTTTCAGAGGAGGAATTCGCAGATAAAAAGAAAGTTCTTCTTGACGACTTAAATTAGATGTATTATCTGCCAGTGATGATCCAAAAAAGAAGTGTTGTTATTTGAGTGGAGCATTGATGTTTTCATTGAAAATCGCGTTTGACAGGGTACTGCAAATCATAGGGCGCCTTTCATTCCGTGCCACCAATGCAAACATTTCTGAAAACGCGGTACAGGATGGTACAGACAGTTTTTAGCCTAAGTGTCCAAAAATACTGTGATAAATTTTCGAAATGCTAACTATTTAATGGAAAGTTTTGATAATTCCAGGAGCAAAGTTGCCAGCATTTACGGTCTACCTTGGGAGGTTGCCTTATTGATCGGAAAATTCGATTAAATCCCCCATTTGTTAGTCAGGAAAATTATTTATGTTGCAAATCAAACGAGTAGGGCTATAAGTTCAATGCCAAATAGAAATAAGCCCTTGTAGTACTTGGCTATTTTTCTTTTTTTTTTGCATAGGGCATTAAAGAAATGTAGCAAGATTTAATAACGCATATGCGGAGCCATTGTACTTTTGGAAACCTTCAGTTTCATTTGGCCACATTGCTTAGTTGCTGCTGAGGCCTGGTCATACGGCGACGCAAGTAGAGGCAATATGCATTTTTTGCGTTTGATTTTGGTGAGGACTTGCGTTGACTTATGATGGCTTGTGTTCGTATCGGTCTAGATCAAATCTGCACTTTAGTCAACGCAAGGTTTTCACGGCCGTTTAGCCACACAATGTATAATTGAACGCAGGCTTACATAAAACACTGAATCCTAGCGCACGCGGCAGCATTAAAATGATTCTTATTGGCCACTTGCATGCACTTGCGAGTACAATTATGAGCGACTCATCATCCACATACACAGCGACTGTTCTGTGATATTTTGAGGCATTGTTAATAAGGATCATCTAACCCCAGTTCGAAGGCCATTTTAAACACTTTCTCTTGGTGATTAGAATTATTCATACATCTCGCAGCTTTCTCCAAAAACAGCATCAGCAGTTTTTTTTTGGCGAGTGATACTCGTCAGTTATAATTAATTCCTAATTGGTTTTTTCATTTTGGTTTTTGGTTTTTTCTATGACAACGTTTCTGCAATTAGGTGTATATATTCACCACATATCCAATTACAACCTTGTTACAGGAAATGCGCTTACTAAATGTTTACCCTTTTTTGTTAATATCACAAGCACAACCTTACAATTGGTCCTGTGATACCCGTGATGACCAATGTAAAACGGAAATTCTCTTTATAAATTATCCTGTCCTTAAATTCCCAATGGGGTTCAATCACATCAGGGATATTGGTAGTTTTTTATCAATTAGGTCTTAAATGATGCTTACCTTCGTTGAAATAAACATCGCTAAACCAAAAGGAGCGAACGGTATGATATGCTTTGCATTTAATATGTTCCATAGTCAAACAATAAGACATGCGCATGTTCTATTAGTTTGAAGCCGATTCTTTTGCAATAGCAAAACCTCAAGAAATTTTTATTTATTTAAGGAATCCCTTAATTAATTAAAGGGATTATGGAATTGAATGAAACAATACAGCATTTAACCTTAGGTGTATTTATTCAAAGCAACCAAAAGCATGGCATGTACAGTTTTAATCCAAGTTGTATTTCCAAAGGTTATAACATATTATGATAACACCCGAGGGTCAGACATTCGTCATAATCATCGATTTGCCTTCGTTGAAATTCCTTATACAGTAAAAAGGCTGACCCTTCATCCACTTTTAAAAGATTGAGTAAATACTTCAACCATGAATCTTGTAAACACACATTAAGTTTCTTACATACAGTAAAAACCTGCAAGTAAGAACCTAAAAATTAAGAACCTGTTAGCTTACAATTCGCCATTTATACCCCCTATAAACAAGAACCTATTTAGCCTAAGAAAATTAAAATAGGTTCTTGATTGAAGAAAAACCAGATTGCCATTGCTGTAAAACAGATTTTTTTTAAAGAAAAATGAGTGCAAAATATGTAGTTACAAAGCATACTAAGCAAGTGTAGATCCACACTACTGTATGGTAAATGCAGTGAAGCTAGTAAAAATTATAATAGCAACAATAATAAAAAAATGTATTTAAATATTTGATGCAGAAGTTCCAGGTTAAAAAGAAGGATACATTGATATGCATATTCAGTTACTCTGTGTCACATTTCTTAATGTCACTGATATTGAGATCCAGATCTTTTCTTTTCAGCCTTCTCACTACTGTCTGTAGATACTGCTGATTCCCAATCAGCCTATAGTCCACAGGAATCTCGAGTCCTTTTCCTTGGCCAACATTATATCTGTGTCCAATGCACTCCACCTCAACCTCTCCACAGTCACGAATAAACTTGTTCATAATCTTCGAAATCTCAATAGGTATATGACCCACAGTTTGACCAGATTCATTCTTCACTGCCACAGCATATTTGTCATGGGGATTGTCTTCTTCAATTTCACACATCATGAGATCCCCTACACGTACAGTCGAATATTTAAAGTATGCGTGATAACCTCGAACACTTGACTCCACAAACACCTCATGCACTCCAGACATTATCAATTTCTAGCTTGTCCCAAATGCGGCAAACAAAGTAAAGGAAACAGCTGAATTTTGCACCATTTGTGAGTTGTTTTCGACAAGAATGTGTGAAGAGTTTGGGTAGTATCGCTGGCCATTTGCATTGAGTTTCAAGAAATACGTCATTTCCTGTCCACAACTAATGTAAACCCAATGCTTCAGCGCTTCGCGCTTCAACACACGCGAGTCTGACAGCTGTGGGATTTCTTGACTAGACTTTCTCCAGCTTAGGAAATGAATCACACTTTATTCCACTTTGGTTTCAAGAAACAAGGAGAAACAAAAAGTGGCAAGCTCTTTGATGTATCTGCAGGTCTTTCAAAGACAGTTGAGCTTCCTGACAAGCCCGTAAAGTGTGAAATTTGCCACAATTCGTTTGCGAAGGACAAATATCTCACTAGTCACGTGCAATTCAAACATCCAGATCAGCTGTCGAAATCAAAACTCAGTCAAAGCAGCTCTTCATCAAAAACTTCAAACGGTGCTAACCAAGCTACTGATCAGAAAGATGTGGACGAAGAAACTCTAGAAACCACATGCGATTTGACCGAGACAGAGAACCGTGAATCTGGAATCAAGACCAACAATCGTCGAGGAGCGAATCAGAGGAAATCTTGCACCATAGATTTCAAGATAAAAACTCTGGATCTTCTAGATACTATGAAAGAGCTTAAGACAAAAAAGCTCTGGGAAAAGGTTGCAGAAAGAAGAGGGGTCAGCAAATCATTGGTAGTTAAAAGGTACAAAAAACTTCGAAGTCAGCTAGCTCTCAACAAGACAAAGAAGAACAAAGGCGCAGCAAGACCTACACGGCAAAGAAGACAACTTGTGTGTGGAAAAGTAAAAGCTGAGAAGTTTCCACTTGCAGCTGAGCGTGTTGTTGTGGAGTTTAAACCCCGAAGAGCAAAAGGATGCAAGATTTCAAAACTGTGGTTGAAAAAAGAAAATGAAGGAAAAGGTTGAGGCATGTTACGGTAAAGAGGCAGCTCAGAAATTCAAAGCTAGTGACAACTGGTTTCAGAGGTTCAAAAAGCGCCATAACATTGCTTTCCGGAGACGATTGAACAAGAAAAAGTCTGCAGCCAGTGACGGTAGAGAGACAATTCAGCGTTTCCACAGAAATCTTAGAACATCCCTCAAAACAACAAGATGGCGCAATAATGCTAAGCTGGATGGTAAATATGGGCGTTGGCTACCCCAAAACAGGTACAATGTCGATCAAGTACCCCTTCCTTTTGTGATTGATTAAGAGAAAACCTATGAAATGAAAGGGAGTGAGCAAGTGTGGGTTTCACAACCCTCAAGTGGCCTGGACAAGAGGCAAGCTTCTTTGCAGCTTTGTATTCGGGCAGAGGGTCAACAAAACGTCAAGCCGGGTATTGTATTTCGGGGAAAAGGAAATGTTAGTACAGAAGAGAAAGCTCAATATGATGCGCGGGTTGACGTTTACTTTCAAAGCTGTGCCTGGATGGACAGTGATATTAATATGCAATGGGTAACCAAAACACTTGCTCCAGGCATTGGCAACTCACCAGAAGAGAAAGTTATCTTTGCTGACAATGTAACATTCCAACAAGATAAGAAGTTCCATGATACTTGCAGACATGAACTCAACACTATTGTATAACTTTTGCCTGAAAACCACACTGACAAGATACAACCCATTGATACAGGGTTTGGTAAAATGCTAAAAACCAAAATTGGACAGGAGATGAACAAATGGCTTGAAGAGAAGGACAATTTAGAACTGTGGCACGACAAAATAACTGCACGACAGAGGAGAATCCTCATGACAAAATGGGCAGGTGCAGCATGGAGGGTACTGGTAAAGGACAGAGATTTTATCAAGAGACTTATTCAGAAAACAGGATGCTTAATCACTATTGATGGAAGTGATGATGACATGATTAAGCCTCAAGGACTTGAGGACTATACATTTTGACAGTTATACAGTTGATATTATACCATGTTTTGGCTTTGAACTAAACTGGATCAGTTGAAAAAAGGACCATAAATTTCTAGAAATTTTGGGCTCTGTTTACCCGTTTTTAATATTCTTTTTTTAAAATGTTACAGTTAAAGCTTAGTATAGCTAGGCAAAGCATATAATTAGATGTAAATATACAAATTTATATTATTTCCATTTTTGTGGGGGGTGGGGTAGGGGTGGTGTGGTGAATAAAATTAAAATGTAGGACAATTACCAACTTGTTATGCAGGTGTGTTTTTCTCCAAGAATAAGAACCTATTTTAAGAACCTAAATAGCCTAAAATTTTGTTAAGTACCATTTATATAAGAACCTGTTTAGGCTAACTCCTAAAAATGTAGGTTCTTACTAGCAGGTTTTCACTGTATTTGTTTTTCAAAGAAGACCAGTGTGCATGACCCTCTCATGTCGGGACTTATGCCTATTTTTCTATTCTACCAGAATTGCCTGAATTTTTGTATGCGACCTTTGATTCAGTAGACAAACATTGCCCTGTATTTTTTTTCCCCATTTTCCCCTAACTTTTCAAGAAATAACGCATGCAAAACATCGCGTCGGCGTTCTTTAGTTCGAAAAGGAGACAAAAGGATTGGACGAGTTCTTTGTTTCGCAAAATCAACGAAGCGGGACTTTTAAACTTCGCTATGAATAACAATGGCGTTTTATACCTCGATTGGTCTCACCTGGATCAGTGTTCGTCACCATGGCGCGGTGGGCTAAATGCAAAGTATGCTGCCTCTGGTGTAACGTTTTTCATTTCGATGGTTTGATGCGCGATGAACATTTTTTCAATCTAAGTGTTTCTTCTCTTTTTTTCTTTCTTGATGTATAGTTTACAGCTATGTTGTTGTTATATTTTCACAGGGGTTCCAATTCTGTGCAAGTTGGAAATCTGGGTACTAGAACTTTTGATGAGATTTGCCCAGCCGAGATTTGCAGATATTTTTACAAGAAAGTATCGACCTGTCACTTGCAATTTAGTGAATACTTTAAAACAGGGCTCGAAATTGCAACCGATATGGTCGCATTTGCGACTTAATTTTTCTTATTTGCGACTAGAAAAACGAGAGTAGTCGCAAATTTGCGACTAGGTTTTTCCTTAACTGATACGAAATAAAAGGACTAGCACTTGAATTTTTGCTTAAATAAATTTAGAAATAAAAAGATTCATTGAATTAGCGTCTTATAATTTTGCTACAATCTGAAGGTTTACCGTAATTTACCTGAAATGCATACACGCAACGATATTCCTTCAACAGCACGCCATTTTCAGCGGGTTCTGTAAACATGTACATTGCAGGCTCATATTTCGTTTTGATTTGCCGCTGACAGTCGTTAGTCACTGAGCAAGATCGAAGGAACAGAAACAAGCAGAAAAACTGGAGTCAATAACTTTCGTTGGTAAAAAATCAGTACTTAAGGCTTCATCAATAAAGGTTCTGACACTACTGGGAATGCACCTCTTAAATTCCTCAACTAAAATAAGCTGCCTTAGCCTATCGTAATTATTATCAATTTCCTGAGAAGAGCACCAACGATCAAAGAGTTGTTCTTTGGTCCTAGCGAATTCAACATATGTCTCACTGCTTCCTTTCTCTTGATTGCGAAATTTCTGACGATATGCCTCCGGTACTAACTCATATCCCTTAAGGATAAGTTGCTTGACAGAATCATAATCCAAAGCTTGTTCTACTGATAGCTGAGTATAAATTTCTCGTGCTTTACCTACAAGTACACTCTGTAA